AAAAAAAAAAAAAAAAAAAAGGTTGAGAACCACTGCCTTAACTAATCCCATGTCTGTTTTTCTGAAACCTGTTCCACCCAGCAAATATACTTAGACTTTGTGGTTTAAGAATTAATTTCATCTGGAGCAGGGGTAGGCAACCTCGGCTCTTTTATGACTCATGGACTTCAACTCCCAGAATTCCTGAGTCAGCTATGCTGATCTGGAGAGAGTGCTGGCATAAAGCTAACATTGTGGCCTTCTTTAATTCTGCAGCGCTGTTAAAGGCAAGACTCCTCAAGTCGGAGACCGTGTTTTGGTAGAAGCCACGTATAATCCTAATATGCCTTTCAAATGGAACGCACAGCGAATTCAAACATTACCAAACCAGGTATAATAATCTCTTGCCTCGTTCATTCATTTTTTTGTGTGTGTTTTTTTCCCCAAATTTACATAGTCGCCCATTTGACAAAACCGACTTTCCAATCTACTGTTATTGGCACCTCAGAGGTGAAGCTGAGCCACATGACGTCCTTTTTTCCCTCACTAGAACCAAACTCAGACCCAGCCTTTACTCAAGACTCCTCCACCAGGGCTCCAACCCATCGCACAGCAGCCTGCGTTCAGTGTCCAGGCGCAGCCCCAGCCACTCCTGCAGGCGCAGATATCAGCTGCTTCTATCACACCTTTGCTTCAGGCGCAGCCACAGCCATTATTACAGCAGCCACAACAGAAAGGTATTCCCTGAAGCATGACTTGGGACTTTTGGCTAATATGAGGTATAATATGTTTTCATGCAGCTCAGGAGCATAAATGGGCCAGACATTATCATCTAGAGTTTTGTGTTTTGTCGTGAGAGGCTTGGACTGGCAAATTTCTCTACTGCCACCTGACTGGGAAGGAATCAGAAGTTTATTCTAAAGTTCTCACTCATCCGTTAGCAACGTCCCTGCACTATAAAGAAAAACAAATTGATTCCCTTCATGTGCATTTTTCAATGCAACACTTATGGGTGATGTACAGAATTCCAAACAATTCTCATATGAGGATCCAGATTGTTGAGGCAATATACTGACACTGTGAACCACTTAGAGAGTGCTGTAAAGCAGGGCTTTTCAACCTTTTCACCCATTGTACCACTTTTAGGATATGGCAACATCCGAGTACCACCTAGCAAGGTGTCAAAAACTTGATGACCAAAAAAAGGGGGGGGGGAAGTGATAAAGTACAGGTAGTCCTCGACTTACAACAGTTTGCTTAGTGACTGTTCGAAGTTACAATGGCACTGAAAAAAGTGCCCCCCAAGCCATAGCCGAGCAAAACACCTGCTTGCCCACCCGGTGGCGCTCTTCCTCCTGTCCGAGGTTTTCATTGTTGTGAGCATTTCTGTTGAGGATTGGCAGCGGGGGTGGGGTGGGGTGATGTTTGGTTTTTATTCCCCCCATCTGCTGGGTGGTTGCAGCAGGTTTTGGTCACTTCACATGACCCTGAGACACTGTGACCGTCATAAATATGAATCAGTTGCCAAGCATCTGAATGTAAATCACAAGACCCGGGAGATGCTGCAACATTCCAGCTGATTGGCGCTTCTTCTGGGCTCAGCGGAAGCTCCAGGATCAGCGCTGAGCTCCAGCTGGAGCCTGGCGCTTACCCTGGCGCTTCCACTGAGCCCTGGCAGCCCTGCAGCTCCAGCCATCTCGCACTCAGGCTTGTGCGGTGCTGCCACTGGTTCAGCTCATTCCCCTCCCCCGCTACTACTTTTCTAGGATGGTCGTGTACCACCTGCCAGGTGCCAATGTACCACAAGTGGTACCCGTACCACTGGTTGGAAAGCCCTGCTGTAAAGCACTGTGAAGCAGTATATAAGTCTTAAGTGCCATTGCTACATTAACTATTGCTGGATCCTAATGTTGGCATTCACAGCAAATCACAAGCCACAGAATAAGTGTGTTGTTCAATGTATCCAGTGGTGGGATTCAAATATGTGAACAAATGGTTCTCTGTGTGGATGCCGCTTCCAGAAGTCCGTTCTGGGCCTGGGCAACAAAAAAATTAGCTGCCGGTTCTGCCGAAGTGGTGCGAAGCGGCTGAATCCCACCACTGAATGAATCAATAAACCAGCTTCATCCCTGGTTTGTTAAATCTGACTTAATGAAGGCTTTGGTTTATTGGAAGGTATTTCTGGACCTTCCCTCCTTAAAAATACAGAAAGTAATTCAACAGATTTATTTTAATAATACAATATTATGAAAAGATTTTTTTAAAACTTGTGGTTTCTCTCCTCCCCCCCCCCCCCAAATAAAAAGCTGGTTTACTGCAGCCTCCTGTTCGAATAGTTTCACAGCCTCAACCAGCCCGAAGATTAGATCCACCACCTAGATTTTCAGGCCGGAATGACAGAGGAGACCCCATGGCAAACAGAAAAGATGACAGAAGGTGCGTTATAAAATTTCCGTTAATTTTCTCCCCTGGATAATTATTTAAAGTTGAGGTAAAAGCAATATTTTGATAAAAGGCAAATGAATAGAAATGTTATTTAAAGTTTATTGGCAATTCTTGCTGCTGGAATGATAGACTGCGTTTGGTGCATTCCTAATGCCCCAAAGACTAAAATAAAAAAATAAAATTGTATTTCATGTTTGTCTGAAGTCGTGAGAGAGAGCGTGAAAGGCGCAGGTCACGGGAAAGGTCACCCCAGAGAAAACGTTCTCGAGAGAGATCCCCCCGAAGGGAGAGAGAAAGATCCCCTCGGAGACCCCGGCGTGTTGTGCCTCGCTACACAGTCCAGTTTTCCAAGTTCTCATTAGATTGGTACGTAGCTTTAATGCATTTCATTTTTACTTTTATTTCTGGAAAGAACCCGAAGTATGGAATAGGTGAGGCTAAGAATTTTCATATTCATTGTAATCTAAAAAAAAACATCCTTTCCAGGCTTGCAGTTCTACTTACAGCCCCTAGAACAGCGGTTCTCAACCTATGGGTCGCGACCCCATTTGGGGTCGATCGACCATTTCACGGGGGTCGCCAAACAAGGCTGTCCGCCATTTTTTTCCCCTTTTCCGGCGGGTGCCTTACCTCCCTTGAGCTGGGCCAGCTGGTGGTCGGCCTGCTCCGTCTCTGCCGCTTGCCAGCTACGCCTTGGCCAGTGCAGGGGGCGGAACCACGCATGCGCGGCGCTCCCGGGCAGGGAAAGTCCTCGACCTACAACCGGTTGGGTAGTCCTCGACTTATGACCGGTTTAGTCCTTGACTTACGACCGGTTTAGTCCTCGACTTACGACCGGTTTAGTCCTCGACTTACAACCAGTTGGGGGTCGCGGCATTAAAAAGGTTGAGAACCACTGCCCTAGAATTCTAGCCAACTGTCCATGCTAATGAAGACTACACAAATAATAATAAAGTGCAGTCTGTCAAAACGTCTTAAAAATTACATTTTTCTCTAAAGCCAAACCAAAAACTGATAATGTTTATGCTCAGCTCCGTTTTTGGCGAGACTGAACTTTTATGTGCTTGGATGTCTTGACGTTTGTAAAATAAATATTCTTATCATTTAAAGCCTTAGTTGTGATATGATGGAACTGAGGCGGCGATACCAGAACTTGTATATTCCAAGTGACTTCTTTGATGCCCAGTTTACTTGGGTAGATGCCTTTCCCATGCCAAGACCATTTCAGCTGGGAAACTACTGCAATTTCTATGTAATGCAAAGAGAGGTCGACCCCCTGGATAAGAACACTGCTGTTCTGGACCCAGCAGATGCTGATCATCTTTACAGCGCAAAGGTGGGTGTGGCATCCCAGATGCCACGTTTTCTTCACAAATCCAGGGAGAGTTAGTTCTATCAGAAGCATTTATACCCTGTGTCCTTTATTTTTTAATAGAGGGCTCAGGAACCATAGCAGGTCTGGATTCAGCTTTTTTTTTTTTTCATGTCCGACCCTGAAATAAAGAGTAACTATCAGGATGATTATAAAAATAATCGTTTCAACATCACATAATTCATTAGAAAACAGGAGTGCAGTTATCAAATCATTTTTGTTCTGAGCACTTGATGTTTTATTTTCAGATTGATAGGAATACTCACTTGATTTTGTATTTGTTTATGGATTCTCTTAGTGTGAAACTTACCGTATATGTAGAATGTAAATGCTTTTAAGGTTGTTATTTGCATGGTTAAAGAGCACTGAATCAAAAATTAAGCATTAAGTAATAATGTTGAGTTTCTTAAATTAATCCCTTTAGAATATATACAGCGTGTAAATTTTTACTTTTCCGTATAGGACACTCAGGATTGTATCAGATTTTATCCATTTGCTGATGGGTTGGCATAAAAAAGCAAATCAGACCATTCCCCCTTTCACATCCCAAACATCTCTTTAATTATCTTTGAAGAGTCAGGTTTTGTACTACATTTTGTAGCATTGCTTATTTCACATGACACCTGTCTTGCTGTTCTAACAGGTGATGCTCATGGCTAGTCCAAGCATGGAAGATCTTTATCACAAATCATGTGCCCTTGCTGAAGATTCACAAGAAGTCCGGGATGGTTTTCAACACCCTGCTAGACTTATAAAGGTTAAAAGAAATTCTAGTAAAAACATTTTGTTACAAAGTCCTTATCCAAGTTGGGGGTGTGGCTTTAGTTTCCATCATTCCTCATCAGCCACCATGTTGAATATATGGTGGATGAGATGTTTAATTCCACTCGTGGACATAGAATTTCTGTGTTGACTTACCTGGGTGCATTTGAAACATGATTGCATTCTTGTGTCTTAAGTCCAGATTGCTGGTCAAGTTAGTATCTGCTTATTTTTACCTGTATAAAATCATTTCATATTTTCAAGCCTGTATTCTACACTAGCTTTCATAAAGTTATTTTACTATTGCCATCTGTTTCGTATGCAGTTTCTGTCCAATGGTGGAACCTGCACAGGGATCTTGCAAAACTAATGGGTAATGATGTTTAAACCTATTCCATTACTGAAATATATTGTGGAAAACAAAAGCTGAACTCATTTTTCTTTTGCAAGACTGCTGCTTTATTACAGGTCACAGACTCATCAAATATAAAATGAAACCAAATTATATTCACAAATCCAGTAATACTTGCTTATGCTGAGAAACTAACACTCATTTAGGATTTCAGTGCTGTTGTTTCACAGTTCAGAGATTTTTTTCTTCTTGTAGCTAAGTATTAATTAAGTAACTTTCTTATCTAGTTTTTAGTGGGTATGAAAGGGAAAGATGAAGCGATGGCTATTGGTGGACATTGGTCACCTTCACTGGATGGACCTGACCCAGAGAAAGACCCATCCGTGCTGATTAAAACTGCTATCCGGTGTTGCAGGGCCCTAACAGGAATTGATTTAAGTGTTTGCACACAATGGTAAGCATTGTATTCTTGAAATATTGTGGAGAACTTGAAGCATGCATAAGTTGAAATGATTTTATCAAAGCCAGCCTCTTCCTTCCTTTATCAGGATCCAGTAGTTATCCAGGTAAACTACTCAAGTTGCTGTCCTAGTTAACAATGCAAATGTGATTTTGGTGCCAAAAGGTTTGAAAAATGAGCTTTTGAAATCACGTATCTGTTGTGTGAATTTTGCAATGCCTGTATGTTAAAATATTTTTCATTTCACGCATAGCTGGAGGAGATCGTCAAGGAAACTTCATTTCATTATTCTCGTTGTTACAATTAGATGTTTGGGGTAGCCATATCTTCTCCTGTTGGATTTCCTAGTTGATGTTAACTCATCTGTCTATGCTTTGCAAGCAGTTGCACACCAAATTTAAAAGATAATTCCACTAAAGCTAAATTCCGTCCGGGGCTGTTCATTTTGATAATGTAGTAGCCGATGCGTTGTTTTTGGCAATTAATACACATTCTTGAGCAGGTGTCTTAAATTCTTCAAGCTTTCCAAAGAGAATATATGGCTTTCATTTTTTTTTTCTTTAAAAAAAAAAATTCAGGTCGCAGCAAAGTTTCTTTACTTGATGTGCTGCAGTGAACTAGGCTCTATAAAAAAATGTGTTCTAGAATTTTTTTTCCAACATGCTTCTTCCCTTGCAACAGGTACCGTTTTGCAGAGATTCGCTACCATCGCCCTGAGGAGACCCACAAGGGGCGTACGGTTCCAGCTCATGTGGAGACAGTGGTTTTATTTTTCCCGGATGTTTGGCATTGCCTTCCCACCCGCTCAGAGTGGGAAACCCTCTCCCGAGGATACAAGCAGCAGCTGATCGAGAAGCTTCAGGGTGAACGCAAGGAGGCTGATGGAGAACAGGCACTGAACGCTAATCCCTTTTTCTATTTCTGCTTCTCACAGGCGCAGGAACACAGGCACAAAATGCACATCACATGCTACACCGCAAACATACCCTAGAAGGAACATTAACCGGTAACAATGACTGGTAAACCAGCTTTTGGCAGAGTAGAATCCTTTTTTGTTTAATTTCAGCTAGTGTACTAACTTAAAAGTGTGTGCGGATGCAACAGGTGGAATTAAAACTCTGCATTGAATTCACAAATCTTTCACATCTTAGAATTAGTTGCTGAAATCTGGGACCAGTTGTTGAGTGAGAGTCAGTGTTAAGAATTGTGTAAAGCAAAAAAAATCCAAAAACCTTGAGTTTTCTCTCATACATTAGCCTTTAAATATATATATATATATAATGGTACTTGAAAATAGGCAAAATGTTGAAATCACATAGCCTTTTACGGCTGTTGGCATCTTGGTTTCTGTAAAAGGTCTAACGAAATGAGAATATTTTGGGTGGTTTGACATTTGGGGGAAATCACAGGCTGTGTGGTTAGTGGTGACCAAAAATGTCTGTGTATCCCTGGTGTTCGTTGTTTGTTGGTTTTTTTTATCACCCTTTTGTGTTTCACAGAGGAGTTTCTTATTGGCTGATGAGAGAGGCACTGTGATCATTATTAAAATAGCAGAATATGGTATGTGGCTTTGTTGAAATGGTAACTTTAGGAGAAGACTATCTGATGAAACAGTTGTGACCTTGCCCAGATCAGCTGCAGAATTTAAAAAAAGACGGATCTTTGTTTTAATACTTTCCTGAAGGAGGATGTTTTTCTTTGATCTTTTTTTAGGATGAAGAGGAAAAAGATGATGGGGAAGCTAAAGAAATATCTACTCCTACTCATTGGTCCAAACTTGATCCCAAAGCAATGAAGGTAAATGCAACAAAGACTAGATCCAGTATGTGGAATGAGATACCCCTCTCTTTTACTTCTCCTGAATTCAGAGCTCCAGAAGATCCAGAAGTGAAAGAGCTGAAGGGGGAAGATTAATCGGTTGTGCTGACAGATTCCTTTCTGACCATGGCAGGGTCATCATTGGATGCATCCCCAAATATTGACACAACTTAAAGAAAGGTTTCCCAACTTGGCAACTTTTAAGACATGTGGACTTCAACTCCTAGAATTCTGGGAGTTGGAGTCCACACATCTTAAAGTTGCCAAGGTTGGGAAGCCCCGATTTAAAGCATAATTCTTATTGAAGGATGATTTATTTTTTTGAAATGTTGGAAAATATATTTTGCCTTTTTTTTAGGGAGTATCTTAAATTCTATCGTGTTTTTTGTTTACTTGCTAAAATTTAATGTCATTATGTTTTAGAATGGATGAGGATATGTTCCTCAAGGTGCTTGATTGTATAAGCAGTACATAATTTATGTGTTTAAATTTAAATTAATCAGGTGAATGACCTACGCAAGGAGTTAGAAAGTCGGACTCTTAGCTCAAAGGGTCTGAAATCCCAGCTAATAGCCCGGCTAACAAAACAACTAAAAGTGGAGGAGCAAAAAGAGGAACAGAAAGAATTGGAGAAATCTGAAAAGGAGGACGAGGAAGAAGAAGAAAGGAAGTCTGAAGATGACAAAGAGGTGGACAGCTAGCAAATTAATGTTTATGTGCTGATTCATTATATGTTAAATCATAATTAAGTTGAATGCTTAAGTATATGAGAGAAGGACAAGGTTGTCAGAATCAGCATTCTTCCTGTCTTGCTTAGACTGAACTCTTAAAAATCACCAGAAACTGGGCTTAATTGTAGTGTGGATGTTCCTTTCTCATAGTTGGTTCCTGTTGGTAAAACTACCAGCCAGAAAAGTATTTGTTTCCATGTAAATATTTGTATTCCTTCAGCAAGGATGATGATAACATAAAAAGGAACTAAGTCATTTATGTTTACATTATGTAAATATAAATCACTGCATGATGGCGCAGTGGTTAGAGTGCAGTACTACAGGCTGACTCTGCCCAGTGCCAGGAAGTTTGATCCTGACCGCTCAAGATTGACTCAGCCTTCCATCCTTCTGAAGTCGGTGAAATGACCCAGATTGTTGGGAGTAATATGCTAACTCTAAACCGCTTAGAGCAGGGGTCCCCAACCCCCGGTCCGTGGACCAGTACTGGGCCGTGGCATGCCAACAACTGAGCCGCACAAACAAACAAAGCCCCATCCGCAGGATACAGGCAGCACACAAAACCACGCCCCCTGCGGTCTGCAGAAAAACCTCTCTCCACGGAACCGGTCCCTAGTGCCCAAACGGTTGGGGCCCTCTGGTTTAGAGAGTGCTGTAAAACGCTATGAAGCTATATGTAAATCTAGGGGTTAGTGCCATTGCTACATTTATATGAATCATACTTTTAAACATAATATATGTTAAAACGTTAAGGTTTTGTTGCTCGATTCCAAATAGTTTATGTTGTCTAGGAATGATCTCCGTAAACTCCAGTGAGCAAACCTACAACCACCTAAAAATATGCCAGAAATACAGCAGTGTGAAAATGTCAGAGCGGTGGCCCAAATTTGCTATAAAAATCAGAACAAAATTTAAAAATCTGCAAATCAACTAGCAACCTTCTGCCTCAGATTACCTCCCATCGGCCGGTACGCTCCCACAGAGTGGGTCTCCTGAGGGTGCCGTCAGCCAGACAGTGCCGGCTGGCGACCCCCAGGGGGAGGGCCTTCTCGGTGGGAGCTCCCACCCTCTGGAACGAACTACCCCCAGAGATCCGGGTGATCCCGGATCTCCCTTCCGCCGCGCCCTTAAGACATGGCTATTTCAACTAGCAGGACTGGCCTAAGGGGTAATTTTTAGTGGGGTTTTAAAAATAATTTTAAAATAACATAGGCCAATCTAATATTTCATTTTAATTACGTTTTTAATTGATTGTATTTTGGTATTTTTTGTATTTGTTTTTATCAGGCTGTTAGCCGCCCTGAGTCCGTAAGGAGAAGGGCGGGATAAAAATTCAATAAATAAAATAAATAAATAAATAAATAAATAAATAAATAAACCCTTTCCTAAAAGCTCACTCGTGCCGAACCATCTTGGCAGCCTTCCAAAAAGCCATTAGGAAAAGCCCCACATGTATCTCCAGAGGGACAGAATCCTACAGCCTTCAGGTTCACCCCAGAGAAGGCCTGACTCTGGGTCCACGTTCCCTCCAATCACTCTCGAAGACCCTAAGTCTCTACTCCAGGGACATGCTCAGAATGATCCTGGAGGAGCCCAGTATGTTGTCCCCTAGCACGACTAATTCAATGCCCAGATACTTGTGGCTAAATAAAGGTCTGAATTTACACGCAAGATTTATTTTATTGCTTACATTGCGTTGGCTATCCACACGGAGAATGCTGACATCAGAGAACGTGACACGTTTCCATTCGAATGGTTTTCTCCAATCTTTAGGAAGAAGAGAGGAAACGGCTAGAAGAAGTAGAACGTCAGCGTCGAGAGAGAAGATACGTTTTGCCTGATGAACCTGCAATCATTGTGCATCCTAACTGGGCAGCCAAAAGTGGGAAGTTTGACTGCAGTATCATGTCCCTTAGTGTTCTTCTGGATTACAGATTGGAAGATAACAAAGAGCATTCCTTTGAGGTAAACTCTTTTCCTCATTTTGGTATTTCAAGAAATCAGATGTTTTGAGTTCCGTCTGCTCCCATTACCTTGGAGGAATGCTTCTTTTGTAATCTAAAGATGGACTTTTTTTGAGTTTTATTTTTATTCTACAGCAGGGGTAGTCAACCTTGGCTCTTTTATGACTCGCGGACTTCAACTCCCAGAATTCCTGAGCCAGCATGGCTGGCTCAGGAATTCTGGGAGTTGAAGTCCGCGAGTCATAAAAGAGCCAAGGTTGACTTCCCCCTGTTCTACAGCTTTGTTTTCTAATGAGAGGGAGTGGCTGTTGCCAGATTTAGAAAAAAAAAAGGATTCTGCTAGGAGATTCAAATTTTGTGGTAACTGTGGTTCAATATTTGGTTAATTTTGACGATGCTGGTTTCTTTTAGAAGTAATACCGTGTTTCCCTGAAAATAATACCGGGTCTTTCTTTCTTTCTTTCTTTCTTTCTTTCTTTCTTTCTTTCTTTCTTTCTTTCTTTCTTTCTTTCTTTCTTTCTTTCTTTCTTTCTTATTTATTTATTTATTTATTTTGCCTCCAAAAGAAGCACCAGGTCTTATTTTGGGGGGGTGTCTTTTATACTCACCTCTGGCACCGACAGCCCCGCCCAGCCGATCCACTTCTTCTGACCGAAGGAGCAGCTTCATTCTGCAACTGCATTCCGGCCTGTATTTCACAGTCAGGCCTTTTCGGAAGGCCTCTGCAGCCGAATACCGAGCTATGGATTCGATCCATAGCTCAGTTCTCAGCTGCAGTGGCCTTTCCAGAAATGCAGGCCTGACTGAGAAATGCAGGCCTAGCTGCGGAAGACGCCTCAGAAGAAGTGGGCCGGCGAGGCCTGGCTGCAAGATAAGTGGGTGCAGGGCGCATGGGGCAGATCCACCCCACCCCACCCCTGCCCTAGCTTGCTTTTTTAGGGTGTGCCTCATCCCAAAACTAGGGCTTATTTTTGGAGTAGGGTTTATATTAGGCCCACCCCCAAAAAATCAAGCTAGGGCTTATTTTCAGGGTAGGCCTTACTTTCAGGGAAACAGGGTAGGTGGAACAGGTTGTCCACACCTTATAACTACAGTTGGGGCTGGCATTTTGATCGCTAAGCGATGCAATCATTAAGCATGTGAGCACACCTGGTTTTACAAACCTTTTACTGAAATCATTAGGCGCATAACAATTGTGTGGTTGTTAAGTGAATCAAGCTGTCATTAAGTAAACCCATCTTCTCAAATTGACTTTACTTGTCAGACGTCCGCTGGAAAGGTCACAAATCACAATCACCTGACTGCAAAATGTTGCAAAATTTTAAAGCAAGACAGTTGCCAAGCATCTGAATTGTGATCACGTGACAACGGAGGTGGTGTGACTGGCCAGAAGTCACTTTTTCTGAAGCCATCATAATTTGTTAAAAGAACAGTCGCAAAAGGAGTGCCTGTAATATTTTCATATAGATATATAAAAGTAATGACTAGTTCTTTCAATATTCTTCCTTCAGGTTTCATTATTTGCAGAACTTTTCAATGAAATGCTTCAGAGGGATTTTGGTGTACGAATCTACAAAGCGTTGTTGTCTCTTCCGGAGAAGGAAGATAAAAAAGACAAAAAGAACAAGAAAGATGAAAAAAAAGAGAAAAAGGAAGAGCGAGATGATGAAAATGATGATCCTAAGCCCAAGAGAAGAAAATCTGGAGATGATAAAGATAAAAAAGATGATAGAGATGACAAAAAGGTTGGTGTCGTTTTTCTGGGAAACAATTTGCCTCTTTTGTATGTGTTTACTTTTTTTTTATATATACACCTGTTACAAAACCAACTTAAGCTGATATTGACAGTAAGTATTTTCAGATTTTGTTTGGTAGGATTTCCCAAGTGAATTTCTTTCCCTTTTTCAGTGTTAAGTTTTAAAAGTAGTATATAAGAAAATGCCATTGTTGCTTTTTCGCTAAGATCTCGAGAGAGTTTTAAAACCTTATTTCCATGCCATTAACCAATCCATGGAGGTTTAAATAGTTTTGCCCAAACATGGATTGTATTAATGTGTTGTGCTTATTTAGAGGGAAGATAAAAGGAAAGATGATTCTAAGGACGATGATGAAATGGAAGACGACAATAACCAGGAAGAATATGATCCAATGGAAGCTGAAGATGCAGAAGATGAAGATGATGGTATGTTGAAGATATTTTGTTTTACGTGAAAAGGAAGCAGAAGTTCCAATCTTGTGGTATAGTTGCATGTAGTATGTGGGGAAAAATGCTTTAAAATTCCATTTATTCATTTAAGAACATTTATATGGCTGCCCAACTCACTCTCAGTGACTCTGGGCGACTTACAAACATAAAAATCTCATGTAAAAAAATAAAAAGTGATAAACCCCTTCTCTACTTTACTTAAACATTATTGAGTTAAAACAAAAAAGAACTGGTATATTTTGGTTTTTGCAAATGGTGTCAGCAGAACTTCCTTTTTTTTTCCTTTTGCAAGAGAAGAGTCCTTATCCAGTTGAGAGATATGTATATCTTTGGAGATACTTAACAATATACAAAGCATTAAAACAAAAACAGCCAAAAAGGAAATATATCACTATATACAGTCATGTGAAAAAGAAAAAAACACCCTCTTTGAATTTTATGGTTTTAAGCATCAGGACATAGTGAAAAATCCTCTGGTCCTTAGCAGTTCTTAAAAGTAGGTAAATACAACCTTAGAAGAACAACAGCACATAACATATTACACCATGTCATTCATTTTACAAAAAGAAAGCCAAAATGGAGAAGCTATGTGTGAAAAACTAAGTACACCGTATGATTCAATAGCTTGTAGAATCACTTTTTAGCAGCAATAACCTGAAGTAATTGCTTTCTGAGTGACTTTTTATCAGTCTCTCGCCTCGTTGTGGAGGAATTTTGGCCCACTCTTCTTTACAACATTGCTTCAGTTCATTGAGGTTTGTGGGAATGAATTTATGCACAGCTTTCCTGAAGGCCCCCACCGCAGCATTTCAGTTGGGAAGATTGGCAACTGTCTTGAAGGTTCTCCACTTGTGAATAATCTCCCTCAGGGTAGAATAATGGACTTTAAATAGTTGGAAATGGCCTCATAACCCTTCCCAGAATAATGGGCAGCAACAATTGCTTCTCTAAGGTCGTTGCTGGCTTCTCCATTTTGGGTTTCTCTTTATAATATAAATGATGACATGGTGTAATGTTCTTCTGAAGTTGTATTTACCTACTTTTAAGAACTACCAAAAACCAGATGATTTTTATTATGTCCCAATATGTAAAACCACAGAACCTGAGGAAGGTATACTTTCTTTTTTTTTTTAATAAAGTTTTATTGATTATTTTTTTTAACAGAATTCAATAGTACTCATTCAACAAAACATGTTGTCTGAGTATCTTATTCACTAATACAAATTAAATTCCTAATCCCTAAATCTTTTCTCTAACCATTGATAAAATAGGTCCCAAGTTTGAAAATATTCTGTCTCTTCTTTTTCTTTCAACCTTAAAGTAAGTCTGTCCATTTCCGCACAGTCTAGTATTTTTTTTAAATTATTTCTTCTTCTGGTGGTGTTTCTTCGCTCTTCCAATATTGTGCAAATATAATTCTTGCCGCTATTATCACATGTAAAATCAAGTATGTACTTTGCTTATCAAGTTTTTCTGGCATTATACCTAGTAAAAAAAATTCAGGTTTATAATCTATGTGTTTCTCTAACATTTTTTCTAACCAAGTGTGAATTTTTGTCCAATATCTCCTTGAGTATACTCAGCATGACTGTATATCAGTTTATATTCTTAAAGAAGGATAGAACCATTGTGAACTTCCTTGTTCATTATTTCTACCAAGAACAGCAGATGTAGCCAACTGTAATAAGAAAAACTATTTAATTTAATATATGCAAGAAATCATGACAATGATTAATTTTAAAATCTAACCTTAATTTTTGAATTCTGCTAAGCTCTTTTGCTACTGTATTAATTTTTTTAATCAAAGTAAATTCCCCCATATTTAAACATCACAGGTTCAATGATTTTTCATGTCTTCCTTTTGCATCTTTTAGTGCTGATGCTATTTGTTCAATAAACAAATATTAAGAAATGAATATATATATATATATATATATATAT